GCCTAATGAGAACCACTTTGCTATGGTGAGTGCCCACATGGACAGTTGTGTCATTAGCCTTCTCTTGGCACAGCTGTTCAATGTAGATGACATATTTCTTTCTGTAGACCTGGACTGATTTGCCAATTTGCTGATTTTTATAATATCCTTGCACAACCTGAAATTCATCATCCTTTTGCATGGGCATGGATCAAACATTATACTTCTGTCTCAGCTCTTTGGAAAGAGGGGAAGACAAAATCTTCTTGCTAATGTGAGAAGGCGCATTGAAATGCCCTTTACAATTCTTGCTTTGATCAGAACGCACAAAGGGACTAAACTTCACTTTGGCCACTGCTGTTTCAGTGATAGGCTCAAAAGGAAAGAGCTCAGACCTCTATTTCTTTTTTTAAGAAGCACTGCAAGACGGTCTTACAGTGGGGGAGAGAGACTGGATTCAATTCCCAGACCTCTATTTCTTAATGTTAAGAAAAGTATCGTTACACTTAGAAGAGCAGAGGAGTGGGTGGAAATTGTGGAAGTGGTGATGGTGAGTGTAGGTCTCACTTTTAAGATATTTGCAGGCAAGGAAAAAAGGGAAAAATAATTTGATAGGGTAGCATGGTGGGGTAAAGAAACTTCTTTATTTAAGCTGGAAGAGTCTTGAACATGCTTACAGAAGGGGGTGGAGGGGAATTAGAACTAGAAAATAATAGGAAAAAAAGAGATAGTTTATGGAGCAACATTCCAAAGAAGATAAAAAGGGATGGAATCCTCTATACAGTATGCAGTATACTGAAGGAGGGATTAGCCTATGGTGAGGAGGAGGAGGTTAGGATTGGCAAGTTTATGGGTAAATCTAGGGGTTGAAGGAAGGCAAGATGAGACTGCAATAGGTAGCCACTATTTTTATATGACATGTGAAGCAATGTTACTAGCTAAATTAGGAGGCAAAAGTAGAGGTAGGGGTCTTCAGGGGAGTGGCAAATGCTGATGGACGTAATCAGAGCTAAGTCAAAGGCTAAGTTGATTATAGAAACTGCATCTGTAAAGCTAACAAATTTTGATTCAGTGAAGAACTATAGGTCAGTGGGTGAGTGCAGAATAAAAAAGAAAAAAAAAAAACCAAAGAACTATAGAGGATCTCTTAGTAGGTGGTGGGGTTTTAAGAAGATATATCTGGCATCCTTTGAAGGGTGGGTCTGAGTAGGGTGAGAGTGGAAACAGAATACTTAAGGAAATCTAGAACTAGGGTGGGGATGATGAGAGAGATGCAAACAGGTGTAACAAATTGAATTAATACACACTAGGACAAAAATGCTCTCTGGGGAAGTATAATTTTATTA